AATGAATGAGAAAAAAGAGAAAAAGCCCGATAATTAAATATAAAGGTACAAAGAATAAGCGAGGAGGAATAAAAAATACACGTAAAATGTAAAATTTGCCAAGCCGGTCGGCATTTTATGTGAATATATATATAATATATGAATGTTCTCCTTTTTATAATTTTTAATTACAAAAGAAAAAATGTCCGAAATTCCAACCAAATAAATAATCTTTTTTAATTTAGAAATTTCTTCCCTAAATATGTAATTTCAAAATTTTCTTTAAATAAATGAATTAAATAAATTCTAAAACTAAATAAAGATATATGAATTCAAAAAAAAAAAAAAAGCGTTTCTTTTTTTCAAACACATTGGTTATGTTCAGTTACGAGCTGTCTTCTTCTTTCGTCCTCCTTTTTTTCCATAAGCCAATTTTGCAAGATTTTTAATCTGGGCATCAACCTTATTAAGGTCTTCTTCATACAACTCCAATTCTTTCTTCATTGCTTTTGCCTTTCGAAATTCAGGAGAGTGTTTTATTAAGTAATAAAATTCCACAACTTGTACCGTCGATTTATTTACTTGTTTGCCTATTACCGCAAAATCTTTTCCATATTCGAGATATGAAGCAAGGAACAATTTACGCTGAATAGATGACCACATTGAAAGAATTTCATTCTTTTTCGGTGGAATTGGATAATTTGAATTACTTGGAGGAATAAATTTATATCCTCCGCATCCAATAACTCCATCACCTGCTATAATAGGTATAGGTATACGTCTCGTTTTTGTATAAGAAGCTTCAAGAGCTGGTATAGGTGCCGCACGATCACGATAATATTCCTCCTTTTCATCATCTTCTGTGATAACGGACTTATGTTTTCTTAACCGCGTTGCAGGCCCAGAAAACCGTCGTTTACCTAAGATTTGTTCTTTAGAACGACTGCTAGGTTTTGGTTTTCGTGCAGATCGTCTTGGGCTAGCCGGACAAGGACTGGATGGTGGACTTGATACTGCGCTACTTGCCACTGATGAAAACGCGGGTGATGGATGAATCTTTCTTGCCACTACCGCTAAAGATGCGAGGGTTGTGATAGCATCTTGTTCACTAGCAATGAAATCTTCCTCTGCAGAACTATATGATGCTGGACTAGAAGAAAATTCACTAGGAGACAGAGCTCTTTTTGGTGAAAAATGAGCGCTAAATACGACGCGTGGTAATACACGCGACGAATTGGAACTTGAGTCATTTTCTATTGTCTCATTACGAACCTCTAAGTATTTTGACTCCTTTCGCGTCCCTGTTACCTGTGAGGTATTGCTATTATTAATTTTATTTGAATATAGCGGTATTGAAATTGGGTAAACTGTAGTAGTAGTTGGTGTTTCTGGGATGGCTGGAATTGAAAACATGTGTGAGAATTGTGAAAGTTGTGCCGAAGCCATTGCAAGCTTTTAAATACTATTGTACAAATAAAAAAAATTTTTTTTTTCTTCAAGATAAATAGGGTAGACCAAATCTAAAAAAGCACAGAGCCTTATTTCACGTGTGCTTTTTTTTTATTCTTGGTTCTAAGTGGCGTCCTTTGTGTCAAATAACGTTTGGATCACTATTAAAACCAAGTTAATATTCCTGTTCTCTTTTTAGTGGAACTAGCCACTCCAAACACAATATATTAAATAAAAAGAGAAGCCCTTTTTGAAAGTGACTATATTTGTATATATTAATAAGCAGACGGTTTAGTAGTACAAGGTGTAGTAGTGAGTTGATGATGAGGGAAAAGAGAACATGTCTATTAAAGGGATCGTATAAAAAGCCGAGTCTCACGAGCCAAGCAAAGGTTAGACAGTTAGTATGGCTTTAAAAAGCAAATGAGGAGTTCTTTGTCCGCGTTCGTTTTAAAAAGGAAACGGGAAGAAATATATTGAACGGTAGTTGTAAAGTGTAAAAAACACGCGATAAGTGACAAAGTGACGCGAAAATTTTTTAAATATGAGAGATATTAGAACAAGCGTTGACGGAGGACGGTTGTGATAAAGGTGGATAAGAAATTTGTCGGTGTTTGAAAGTGTGGGGAGGTTTGAAAAGTTAAGAAAAAATAGGGTAATAGGGTGCTCAATACTAATTGTAATCTGGTACGATGACCATAAATATCAATAAAGGTTCACGAATTCATTGATTAGGCAAACTCAGCCGAATACTAGCCCGGATGTTACACCGGTCGACATACAGAATATCATCGGAAAATTTTATCGGTACTATCTAAACAACTAACGGACCTAAAATTCTCCGTAACATTTTTTTTTTTTTTTTTTTTATTTATATATAAGTATATATTTAAAACTTTCAACTTTTTTTCCAAAGTATGAATGTTCGATAGAATTCCGGTTCTTAGAAATTTGTGAACAGGCTATAGCTACGTTATTTCCTTATTTGAAACAAGGGTCACACTTTCACCTCTTTTTGAAAATCATGCAAAGCTGCAGTGTTTATCGAATCGGATCTTTATAAATTTTATTGATTGATTAATGATAACTAATAAAATAATAGGAAGTACTTCAAGATTCTTTTTTTTGTAACAGTTTCGTCATCATTCCTTAGGCTAAAATCGCGCCGCATCTTTGTCACCCTTTTTTTCCGGGGGGTTTTCATCGCAGAAATTTTGATTGGATGATCCAAAAGTGACAGATTATTTATTTATATATTTTCCGATTTCCGATCAAAGATAAATTTAAGAGAAACTTTTTTTTCTAATGGCTTCAAGTGAGCAACCTGTATTTCCCTTAAAAACACGACAAACAGCTCGTTTGCTCAACGGTACACATACAGAAGTATTAGTTACGGGGTTCCGTGACAAAATACTTGTAATTGTTACTCAATACGGAAGAATTGGCAGTTTGGTATGCAACTATTCTAAAAAACATTTCTCTAAAAAATGTTGATTTCTTAGGGATTTCCTTTAAATGTAATTAGGTTTACGTGACGGTTGATTCACTTTCACCAACCGTACTAGCGGTATCGCCTTCCACTACCACCAATGTAAAATTTCTTTTCGGATCTATGACGTCGCTATACCAATTGTACGCATCACATCTAGCCACAATGATAGCGGCAGATAATCCAAGTGATGGAAGATCTGTGGTAGTAGGGTTGGCATTAAAGAAAAATGGTGAGAATAATGACACCGTTGATCAAGATGAACAGGTTGGAGACAAAGAATTATTTGAAGAGGTAGTATCGATGGTAAAAGAATGTAGAGTTTGGTGATATTTTATCAATCCTCGGGATGAGATTAGTTTATAAATAAATGAAAGCAAATACATAAATATATCTATGTATACACACACGTTTTTACAAATTATGAACATCCTCCGATGTAGTTGTTTTTGAGGTCCAAAATTCAACTTTTCCATCTAATTTCGATAATTCTCCATCACTTGGAAACCATTGCCAACATAAATCATTAAATATATTAGTTGGAATTTGTATCAGATGATGATCATCATTATATTTTGCCGGAATCGTTGGAAAAGGAACACTCTTAATAATCGTCAAAGCGTGTCAGAAAGTTAGTCAAGGAATTTTAAAGCTGAGAAAAGGAAAGACGCGCGATGGAAACAAAAGATAAGGAAAAAAAGGATATATGATATATGTAGGGAGCTTTGCTATTCAACGAAGACGTTGACATCCTTAAACAAATTAATCTTTCGATTAGTTTACGAAATTAATACGTGTATGAAAATAGGGATTCGTCTTACCCTTCATTATAAAAATCTAATCTGTTTCCGACAAGGATTATCTTTTCCAGCTTCTTTTTTTCCCAGTTCGACGCGATCACGTTATTATATAATCCAATTGGACAATGTGGCATATAAAAAAGAGTCTGATTTGTGATTTTCCTCTTTGCTTTCTTATATAATCAAAAAAAAACGAAAATTTTTTAATGAAACAAATTTACTCGCTCCATTAATCTAAATTAAAGATGGAGACATACTTCGTTAATGTCGATTATACTTATTTCATAATGTGAAAGAATGTCCAAGTCAATTAATGTCAAGACAGGATCGTACACATAAGCTTTCCCTGTTATCTTTACAAAAAGGATTTAGTTTTTCTAAATCATAACGAAAAGATACATGGCTTGTAGATATTTAATGAGATTACTTGAAATAAATTTTTCAAAATTAACATGAATGCAAATTGAAATTGCGATGTTGTGGATCTTTCGATACTTCCAATTCCATAACAAACAATATCCACGAGTTTTGGTCGATGTGGGGGGAAAAGTTTATTGCTGATTTTTTCTTTCAATATTAAAAAAGAAAATCAAAATTTGAACATTTATTTAAAAAAAATTGTTAATTTGTCAAACCTTGCAATTCTTGAAAGAAAACGCTTTGTAAAAGGCCTTGCCTGGAAGAAAAATTTATCATAATTTAATTTAATGGATCAGATATTTATAAGCTCTTATATATCACACCTTTTTTCCTCTACGTAGGAAATATAGTCAACAATTCTATTCTCTTTTACAACCCATTTGTTTTTCCCACGACGATTTTTCTTGGTTCTTTGTGATTTAAAATTCTGATATTTAAAAGAATTGTGCTCACTCTTTTCATTCTCGACTTCCATTTTTTCATCCATATTTTCATTCATTTTCTTATGATATGCTGTAGATCGAATCAATTTTTTATTGTAGATTGTCTTTATAAAACGATTGTTATATTACTTAATAAATGTCAAATAAAATAAATAAAGACCGATCCAGTAAAAAAAAATTTTGTCGAACGTGACAATAATTTCACCCCCGGAATTTTTACAGTACAAATTGTAATGATCTACGTGATTATTTTAGTTCAATTCTATGCACTATTTGCAAGCAAAAATCCGAAGTACTATTTAGTATAGAGTTAAAATTAAGATTAAAATTAAAATTAAAATTAGAATGGAAAATGATGGAAGTTTGTTACTTGCTAACCAAAAAAAAATCCCCTAAATATATAAAATTTTTTTTTAAAATATGATAATTATTAACGTTAAGTAAATTTGATTTTCACTTTCACAAGTATAATTAAATCTTTTAACTTATTATCAAAATTAAACATTTTTAAATTTTAAAATAATTCAAGAGTAATAAATATATCTTTTTAAATATATATAATCTTTATGATATAATAATAATATAAAACAAATTTACCTTATTAAATATAATTTTTTAGATTAAAAAATATTAAAATATAATATTAATTTATTTTTTATTTTTAAAATTATATTACATAGAAGTATATTATAACTTTTAACTATTAATTTAATTATATTTTAATTATAAAAATAATTATTATATATTATTGATATGTTATTTAAATAAATCTTAATTTAATCTAATACCAATTTAAATTTAATTAATCCAGACTGTAGCAAAAAACTATATAATTCTATGCTATTTGGCTTTGATATCTACTTTCCCTTTTCCTACTTAATAATTGAATTGATGTTGATTAGCATTTATAAATTGCACAAAAGTCTATATAAAGCAAATATCAGTGAATATTTTATTTAAGATTATTTCAAACTTAAACAACAGTTCCTATTTTCTAATTTATAATCTAATTTAATTCAATATAATCTATTAAATTTAAATAAAATTAAAATATATAAAAAAAAATATTAATTATAAATAAATTTAAAATATTAATAATATAAATATTAAATAATTATAAAAAAAATATATATAATTTATATTATAAAAAAAATTATAATTTATGATTTTTTTTAAAAATTTTTAATTAACTTAAAATTTAATTACTTTTAAAATTATAAATAAAAATTAAAAAAATTTAATAATTAATTAATATTATTATTGTATTATTATTATTAATATTTATTAAATAAATTAATTTAAAAAAAATAATAAAAGTTTTTAATTTTATTAAGTAGAAAACAAATATAATACAATTATTTATTATTTAATAAAATTTAATATTATTAATAATTAAGGGATCAGCATTCCTAATTCAGTTGGTAATAACTGAACTCCTATTATAGATTACACTACAATAGTCACAAGTTCAAGTTTCAGCTAAGACATAAAACTAAATGATTTTCATATGAATTTCATTATAACTGAATACATAGATATAGATTAACATACATTTAAAACTGGTTAATCAATCTGTCAATCAGCATTGACTATACTTAAATACTAAATTTTAAAGAACATGTGAATGCAAGTGAAATCAAAGTTAACAGAAACTTGACCTTCGCTGATAGCTCTATAATAGATACTGTCTCACATCTTCAAATTCAGAGGTTCTTATATAAGTAAGAAAGTATTTAATTAGTAATTAATAGATCTAAAATGTATAAGAAATAATAAACTGCATTATATATTACAGTTTTTAGTCAGATCATGTTATCATTAGGGGTAGAGGTCAAGTTCAATTTCTATATGTATTTGACACTATGAGTATTAAGTTATTATCTATATAAAGAACCTAATCTTATATCTTCAAAAGTTATCAATAGAGTAAGTCCCTATAAATTAGATTGGTAAAAATAGTGACTGTCAATTACTATAACTGAAGTGAGTTCTCTATCCAAATTTAATATATA